TTGAGGAGATCTTAGCATAGTTTGTTATTAACTCAAGTATTGATTCGGTGACTCTCTAATTTTGAATGTTTTGAAAGGGTATAATTATATGTATTGGTCGGATTGTCGGAAAAATTAAAAAGTAGACTGCATTTAGAATCTACAAACGAAATCTATATACGAAGTCTATTAAAGCAGATTAATTTTTGAAATTGAAGTCTTAAACTCATTTAATATGTAGAAAGTAGACTGCATTTAGAAGTCTACTAAATGAATTTAAACTAAAATTGAAATAAAAATTTTGAAACATATGGAGGCAAATTTGAATTTTTTAAAACTTTTAAAAATATTTTATTTAATATGTAGAAAGGTAGACTGCACTTAGAAGTCTACTAAACGAATTAAAACTAAAATTGAAATAAAAGCTTGAAACATATGGAGGCAAATTTGAATTTTTTAAACATTTTAAAAAATTTGAATTTTTTTGAAACATTTTGGAAAGTTTGAATTTTAAAACAATTTTAAGTAGACTTCGAAGTCTACTTACGAAGTCTACTACCAAAGTCTGATTATTTATAACCAAACAAAACCAATCAAATCGTGTATTTAACCAAGACCAAATTTATTTACCCATCCAAATAAACCGAACTTAACCAATTTATTTACCCTACCTAAAAAACCTCAAAATTGTGGTTTAGATGAAAAAAAAGTAACAACCCAGTTTCGTTCGTGTCTCTCTCTGCGCCGCCGAGTCGATCTCGAATCATCACCGTCGGTACCGGTGCATGCGCCGTCGCTTGGAGAAGAAAGATAACCTCTTAATCTCTTCCGTCTTTGACTCCGAATCTCTCTATCTCTCCTTGATTCGAAAATCTCTCTTTCTCTCTTTGTCTCATCTCTTTGAATCCAAAATCTCTTTAACTCTTTTTAATTTTACTATCTCTTACTCGCTATTTCTCTCTCTGATTCGAGAATCTAACTTTTTTTATATCCCTCTTCTTTGCAGATCTATTTTTCGCCGCCGGAAAATTCGAAATTCGGTTTACCTTCTTCAAAATACAAGGTTTTGTGAGAGGATGTGTTTTTGTTTGTCAAAATTTTTCCAAATCGAAGGTCTTCACTATGTTTCTACTGCTTTTAATTTTTCTAGACAATGTTTGGTTTTGGATAGAACAGTCTTCTCCAGTAGACTTCTCTAATAAACTTTAGATGACGGATGCGGCTAGATTCCCGTCAAGGAAGTATTCCAAAGGAGATGAGCCTGAGGCAGAAAAAAGCATAAACTACTATGCTGGAAATAAAGAGTTGTTTGCTGCTCTAGCCACATGGTTGTTGGAAGATTAGTGGGAAGAGCTTTTATTCTCTCCATTGGGTGTGTTGTTACGGTTCCATTCTATCGACTTTAAGTGGGCATCGAGGATGGTTCACTTTATATTGGCTGCTCAGCTAGCGCGCAAGAAACCTAATGAGATATGGAGTCTAATTGGAGTGAAGCCGTTGAGGTTTTCATTGCTTGAGTTCGAATTTCTGACCGGTCTCAATTGCAACGACGTTCCGAAGGTTGATGATGGTTTTAGTCACTGTGAAAAGAAGATGAAGGTCCTTGAGTAACGCATGGAGGCTGTGATAGAGGGAAAGGAAGAGCCAGCGAAGAATGGTGATGGAGTCAAAATCCGAAATGCTGAGCAAACCAAATCCAACAAACCTAAACCAGCTGCTCATGTGGAGGACATGGCAGATGATGCTGATGAGAACAAGACTGTCACTGATGTTGGGGTTAGTACCCAATCTAAACGTCGAACGAGTAATAGGAATCGTAAAGCACTGAAAAATAATTAGTCTAAAATCTGCTTCATTTGTTTCATGTTTCCGCGATTGATGTTATGTTAAATTTGACCTTTTCACATTTCTTGTTTGAACAATTCTGTTTGGATTATGTTATTCCATAGTTTTGTATAATATGTTTTCTTTTCATTTGGTATATGATTCGACTTTGATACTCTAAAATGCAGAGTAAATTTATGAACAAAGAAACACTTAAAGAAGATGGGCTGAGTGCGAGTGTCAATGGTGCAGATCCGAGTGTTATGGTTCTCGATAATCAAAAACCACCAGAAAATTATGTTGCGCTTGAGAAAGCTAAACAAGAGGAGAAGAGGCAGGCATCTATTATACGAGCAAAAAGTGAGAGGCTTAAGAAGCCGGCCCCGACAAAGAGGTCACCATTCTTCGGGAACAAAATTGCTAAGCGCACTGTAGGAAAATGATATGATCCATTTGCTCCCGTTGCTGAGCAATAGTTGATGTCTCTACAACAGTGGCTGGAAGAAGACCCGTAAGTAAAACAAAACTTGACTCGTTGTTTAAGCGTATTGGTGACTGATTTTCCATTGCTAAACAGGGATTATGACAAACCTCTTCTGCCGTTCACTTCTCTAGAGTAGTTTTGGATTCTACGAGAGCGGACACAATGGCTAAAAGACACGGTAAGCTATCAATCTTCTCTGGTAGACTTCTCTGTATACTTCTCTGGTAGACTTCTCTAATAGACTTCTCTGGTAGACTTCTCTGGTAGACTTCTCTGGTAGACTGCTCTGGTAGACTTCTCTGGCAGACTTCTCTGGTAGCCGTTGATTATGTTCTTGATGTTTGACATTGATTCTTTTGGTTGTTTTGTTGCAGCACATGGATGCTGCGTTGAATATGCTGAGGAAACAGTACAAGGCTCATCTAGAGTGGTTTAGGAGTGACAAAATTTGCATCCTCGACACTACTCTAGGCAACATATGGAATATGAGGTACCATGACTTTGTTGACTTCCCTGCCAATGAAGACGTGACTGGAAGAAAGCTACCAGGTGGGTCGTGGGATTACTATACAGGTCAAATACCCGAGTATGAAAAAATAGAGAAGACGTGGGGGACTGAAGTGGAGGACATATATTCTCCATTAAATGTCAAAAAGGATCATTGGGTGGCTTTGTGGATTTCACTCCCAAAGAGACACATTGTTGTCTGGGACTCTATATGTACCTATGCATCTGATGAGCATATCGAAGAGAAGGTCAAGCCCATTGCCATGATGTTACCTTATCTAATTCACATTTCATGTGCAGCAGAAGACAGATACAAGTGGCCAATAGCCCCATTCACGTATGAGAGGGTGGCTAAAGTACCACAAAACAAGCAAGATGGGGATTGTGGAGTGTATACACTGAAGTACATTGAATGCCACGCTCTCGGCTATCCATTTAGTTCTGTTGCCTTGTGTGATGCGAAAATCAAGCGTATTAGGGACAAGCTTAGGGCTGAGATATTCATGGAGACTGAATTTCGTGGGACAGACCCGTCAACGTATAAAGACTTGGACCTTTATGACTAATATTGTTCCAACTCTTTATATGCTTTTGAATTTCCCGCCTAACTTTTAGGAGTCTTGCATATATATTGTAGATGTAAGAAAAACTCACATCCTATATTTTTTGCTACTATGGCGGGATGTGACTCGGACAAACTTTGGTTTTTGTTTGGGATTTGTATATTCCATTGCTAAGCTACTGATAATTTATAAGCTAATGACTTCTTTTGTAGACTTCTGTTTTAGACTTCTCTTGTAGACTTCTCATTGTACGATATTCATGGCTTTGTACATATACTAATGTAAGATGATCACAAATTAAAAAAATTAAAACATAGACTTATAGCACCATGTTCGACAAAGACAACAAATTTAAAGTCTACAAACGCAAATCATCTTAACATTTAAAAAACATAACCTTAGCACACATTCTTCTCTCGGAGAGATTAGATTAAGTACCACAATTTGACAAACCATACCAAATATTAAAAATGACATGAAACAATAAACCAGAAGAGTAGATTAAGTACCACAATTCGGCATCGTATGGCCCGGTTGGTTGCATTTTGAACAATTGTATTGAGCATGAACCTTCCGCGGTTTGGTACCTTTCATCCTTGCGATTTCTAGCCAAGTTTGCCACCTTGATTTCTTCTTCCGACCCGGACGCGTCTTCATGAAAGGAGGCAGACATGGGGTTGATTCTATACCTTCACCGACTGAACTTTTCGGAAAAATGCTTTGCGCATACGCCCAATACAAATAATCCCTCCCATATATTGGGCAAACACTGGTAGCGACATCTTGTTTACTCTCTATCAAAGCGGCAATAGCATGCGAGCAAGGTATCTTCTCGATGAAGAAGACACCACATGTACATTTTTTTTGGCCCAAATCAACAATACAATCACATGCTCCTTCCTGCACATGGAACTGAACATCATTAATACGTCCCACTGTCATTCTAGACGCGTAATCATCACGAACCGCTAACAAGTATTCAACTGCCCGAGTATGGTGTGTTGTTAGACTTAGAGCATCTTCTCACCTTTTACAAAACCACCTTCCTAGCTTCTCACGG